ATTGTTGTACAATGCAAAGGGAGCGTTAATTTATTTCAGATGGAGCTCCAACCAACACATAGCCAATCAATTGGTAAATCCTCGTAATGGGTCAATTCTTTCACTTACTCCATGTTTGACAATGATTTTTTTTCAGGGAAAATGAGTTTTAAAATAATGATTTTTTTACTTTTATTTTTTTGAAAATATGTGGTTAAAAGTAGATTTTTTTTTTTTAATTTACATGTAAAATATTTTATAGTGTAAAAGTATAATCAAGAATGAGTTCGAAAAAAAAGGGTTTTGATTTAGTGCTTGTTTGGTAGGGATTTTGTTAATTGATTTTTTGACCATTAGAGATAAAGTGAGTCCTATTTGTAAGAGAAGAATTCAAAAATGATGGTTGAAATAGCGAAATAACGATCCAAAAATTGATTTTAATTTACTTTTAATCCTACCAAACATGCTCTTAATGAATGTCATATAGGGCCATAAAATCTAATACACATTAGAATTCCTATGATCAACAAATTACTCTGCAGTAAAGTGGGTTAGACGACTATGTGAAATTGGCTTATTATTAATATTGTACATTGAGTACTTTTATGGAAGAGTTTAAATTAGCGAAAAATACATAATCGTTATAGTTTCATGACACACTTTCAAATTTAAAAAATTCTGAAATTCTTATAAAAATCAGGTGGTTTGTCACTACCTGATAAAATTTTATGACTTAATTTATTAGCCCTTATTTGGTACAAATTAAAATCTAAATATTAATCTAAGTAAAAATTAACAATTAATTTTAACCCATATTTTATAAATCTCACAATTTTTCAATTTATATTTCATCATTTTTTATCAAAATCTCCTAAAAATCTAGGGCATGTTCGATCGTGATTATGAGGATTGATTTTTTGACCGTTAAAGAAAAAAGTAGATTCTACCTGAGTACAAAAGTAAAAAATGACGATTGTAATAGTGAAATAACAGTCAAAAATTTGATTTTTTGGATGAAAATTGCTACCAAACGGGAGTCTAATTTTAATCCCCACCAAATAGGAGCTTAATTAAATATGTCAAAATCAAAATAACATAATTTATTATCATAGTTACAAATCGCACAATATCAGTCACAAAAATAGAAATTGTGGGTTTCAATTATAAATTTGTTCAAAAGGTCATGTATAATTTTTTGGTCATAAATTACACATTTTATTGGTCACAAACGCTTTTTGTCCTATCACGCTACTTTATCAGCATCGAATCATTCAAACGTCGTTGTCACCTCATCACCACCACCTCCTCCTACATTTCTACCACCACCAACATCATCCAAATTATTGCCACTAATTCAAATCTACAACCTACCACCACCACCACTAGTAATGAGTGGCACATTCTCAAAACCACCACCAATCCCCACATAAACTTAAAGGATAAGTCTTAATATACGTAAAAAATGTACATAAGGGTGTCCACTAATTCAAATCTATAACCTACCATCACCACCAATAATGAGTGGCACATTCTTATAACCACCACCAATCCCCCACATAACCTTAAAGGATAGTTCTTAGTGTACGTAAAAAATGTACATACTAACTGATACTGATAGTTCCTGCGTATCCCAACCACTTTCATCCCCGACCAATTGAGAAGGCGTTTCTTACGATTTCTAGTTATCAGTGCTCGAGATGTATTGGGTCCTCAGGATATTGTGACCGACCTTGATAACATTCAAAGATTGCAAGATGTCCTCGAGAATAATAGCTCGGGAAAATTCCCTTGAGGTCCTCAACTACCACCTTCCTCATACTAAGGAGAAGGTCTATCCCCTGAGAACTCTTATCTGACACAAATACTTCAAACCACATCTCCCAAGTCTAAGAGAGTCCTCTTAACAATTGGTCTTCTAATCCTAGTTGGATCCAAACACTGTTTTCCCATGGGATTCTATCGGATAAGGATACCCAGATAGTTAAATCCTACTAGGAAAGCACCATATACCTCTATAAATACAGAACATTGAGCCATTATTCAGGTACGTTCTCATTATTCTCCAATTTATAGCCTCATGCATATAATTCCCTTTCTGACTTAAGCATCGGGGGGACGACGAGAACATACCTCGTTGCCTTTGTTTCAGGTGCCGGAAGACTACGATCGTGCTTAATCAAAACCATCAAACTCGGGAAATCAACGGATACGATTTTTGGTAGCATCATTGGCACCGTCTGTGGGAAGCGTTACCAAAAGTCATGGTTAACATTCGATCAGGTCTTTCTCCCTCAAGCTCATCCGCTCCCATCCCTCAACCTGCCGAAGATCAATCGACTCCTCATGAAGAATTGTCAGGAGTGCCCGCGCCTTTGTCAGCGGTCATCACAATCAAAGTCTTTGAAGAGCTCCGTCAGCAGGTGGCCACACTCACACAACTGTTAAGTCAAAGAAATTAACATCCATCGCCAGTGCAAGTAGAGCATGGCGATTTTATGGCTGATGCTCGAGCACGACCACCAAACCCCGCAACTGGCGGAATAGGAACCTCGGGTATTCACAATATGGCCTTGGGCTCGAGATCGATCGCTATGGATTCCGGTGAAATTGCCCGGATCATTCAAGAAGGAACTACAGCTGGACTGCAACGGAATGCTCGGGGGCCAACGGGTTTCACCCCTAACACTCCATTCACACCAGAGATATTGTCATATCCCTTGCCCGACAGATTCAAATATCTTCACATTAAAGAGTATGATGGGACGATCGACCCCATCAACCATCTCAATGTATATACTGATGTCATGAACTTGCAAGTTATGCCGGATCAGGTTATGTGCAAAGCCTTTCCACAAACGCTGACTAATGCTGCTAGGAATTGGTTCTCGACATTGGAGCCCAACTCCATAGCCTCATTCTCAGATTTGGCTGATAAGTTCTCAGCCTTCTTCGCAAGTAGTAAGTGAATCAGGAAGACTGCGGCCTCCCTCATGCAACTGCGCCAAGGACCGAATGAAACCCTACGAGGTTTTATGACAAGATTTAACAAGGAATGACTTCATATATCTGACCTTCACATTACAATAGCAATTTCTGCCCTCACCTATGCCATAAGGTGTGAGGCCTTCAAAATGTCTTTATCAAAGATCCCACCACAGACAGTGACCGAGCTGAAAAGTACATTAATGTGGAGAAAAAGTTGAATACAATGAGAGCAAGTCATTCTCATGAAAAGGTCGAAAACAAGAGGCAACATGATCCCGTTTCCCAGCATGAGCTTCCTCGGGATAAGCACAGGAATGAGGCACCGTCAGCACCTCTCACTCGATTGAACACCTCTAAGACAAACATCTTGATGGAGATTAAGGATATGAAAGAATTAAAGTGACATTCAAGGATAAAGTAGCCCCCTGACACAAAAGATAGGAGCAAGTATTGTGAATTTCACCGAAATCATGAGCATACCACAGAGGATTGTCATGCTTTACAGCGAGAAATTGACGTCCTTATCAAAAGAGAATTTTTAAAGAATTACATTGGTCATGATAAACGCCCGAGGAATGACCGTGACAATCTGAAAGAGCCTGGAGCCGAAAGCAGTGGTCAACCCACTGCCGGGACAATTAATATTATCGTTGGGAGGATAGCATTTGGAGGAGACACAAATAGTGGGCGAAAGCAATATGCCCGCCAACATGCTCATACCCCAAGAGAATCTCGTGATGAAGTCAAAGACATCACTTTCGGAGTAAGAGATTTGGAAGGAATATCATATCCTCATGACGATGCCTTGGTTGTCTCTGCGGTTGTGGCTAACTTCGAAGTAAAGAGGATTCTGGTTGATAATGGGAGTGCAGCAAATATACTCTCACAGGAGGCTTTCGCAAAAATGGGGATCTTTCCCAAACAGCTTAAGGCAGTAAAAACTCCTCTACAGGGATTTGGTGGTGGAGTCATTATCCCTGAGGGCATCGTCGAGCTCCCGCTTACATTAGGTTCTGGTAATACACAAGTGACAGAGATCACACCATTCCAAGTGGTTAATACCCTAATGGCCTACAATATCATTTTGGAAAGACCCCTACTGAACAAGATCCGGGTTACTGTATCAACTTTCCACCAGGCCATGAAGTTTCCCACAGGTCATGGCATCGGAGTAGTTCGAGGAGACCAAACAGCTGCCAGACAGTTTTATGTTACTAGCATCCGAGGAATGAGTACAGACGTCATGCAACTTTCAGACCTCGAGCTCGAGCCAAGGGGTAGATTGGCCCCTGTTGAGGAATTGGAAGTGGTCGAGCTCGAGCACGGAAAAGCAGTAACTATTGGTCGGGATCTCAAGGCCAACCTTCGGGAGGAAATCATCAATTGTCTGTCCCGCAACATTGATTTTTTGCATGGAAGGTAGAGTATATGCCAGGTATAGACCTAGAAGTAGCTGTCCATAGACTCAATATCAGCCCAGGGGCCAAACCCGTTAAGTAAAGGAAGAGGCAGTTTTGCGCCGGAAAGATGTATGTTCATTCAGCAAGAGGTCGACAAATTGGTGAGAGCGGGGTTCATAAGGGAAGTCCAATACCCCGATCGGCTCGCTAACGTTGTTCTTGTGAAGAAGGCCAGTGGTAAATGGAGGATCTGTATCGACTTCACAGATCTCAATAAGGCGTGCCCAAAAGACAGCTACCCGCTACCCAGGGTTGACAATCTTGTGGATAGCACATCCGAACATAAGCTATACAATTTTTTAGATGCATTCTCGGGGTATCATCAAATCTTCATGCCCAAAGAAGACTAAGAGAAGACCTCATTTATGGCTGATTCAGCCATATATTGCTATAGGGTCATGCCGTTTGGTTAAAGAATGCTGGGGCAACATATCAGAGACTGATTAACAAAATCTTTGCTAATTTGATAGGGAAGAATACTGAGGCCTACATTGACGACATGGTGGTAAAGAGCAAGAAGGTAGAAGACATGTATCTAATCTCGAAGAAGTGTTCGCCACCCTATGAAAATATAAGATGAAGCTCAACCCAGAGAAGTGTGTATTCGGCGTAGCTTCAGGAAAGTTCTTGGGTTTCATGATCACTCATTGGGGGATTGAGGCCAACCCCGATAAGATTCAGGCTTTGGCAGCAATGGAATCACCGAAGACCAAGAAAGAAGTTCAAAAGTTGACAGGCAGGGTAGCCGCCTTGAACATGTTCATGTCCTGAGCAGTAGACAGATGCTTCACCTTCTTCAAAGCCGTCAGGGGTAATCATTGCTTTGAATAGAATGAGGAGTGCGATAAGGCTTTTCAGGAGCTCAAGCAGACGTTGGAATCTCCTCCTATCCTCACCAAACCCAAGCCCGAGGATACTTTACATTTATACTTAGCCGTGTCTCAGAGTGCAGTAAGTGGTATCTTGGTGAAAGAGGTTAACAGGGCCCAGCAACCCATTTATTATGTAAGCAAAGTCCTACTTGATGCAGAAACAAGATACACTTTCGCAGAACAGCTTGCCCTTACACTGATAGTGGCAGCATGAAAGTTTCGACAATATTTTTAGTCATATCCTATTCTAGTGCTCACCAATCAGCCTCTGAAATATATTCTTCAGAAACCAGACGTCTCAGGAAGATTACTGAAGTGGGCAATTGAACTCGAAGAATTTGACATAGAGTTCAAGCCCCGTCCATCTATTAAAGTTCAGGCCTTAGCTAACTTCATTGCAGAGCTCACCCCAAGGCCTCAGGGGCCAGACGGTAGCTCGAGCTCTTCCACAGGCGTGTGGCAAATTTTTGTAGATAGAGCATCAAACTCCTCAGGCTCAGGTGCAGAGATCATAATCATAAGCCCGGACACGTTCATAGACATTCAGTGTGCACTCAGGTTCGAATTTGAAGTAACCAATAATGAAGCAGAGTATGAAGCCGTCATCATAGCCATGGAACTTGCCATCAATCTCAAGCTTGAAAACATCAAAATTTATAGTGATTCCCAGTTGGTGGTCGGACAAATTGAAGGGACGTTTGATAGGAAGGACGAGCCGATGAGCTTATACTGCTCGAAAGTGCATAATCTCCAGAGAAAGTTCAAGAGTTGTGAAATTGTGAAAATTACTCGGGCTGAGAATTGTAAAGCCAATGCCTTGTCAAGATTGGTGTTCATGGGGATAGATGGGCTTGACGAGACAGTCCACGTTAGAATTGTAACCGAGCCAAGCATCAATAAGACTGTAAGTGTCATGGATATTGATAATGAGCCATCATGGATGGATCCAATAGTGGACTTTATAAAACATGACAATCTTCCAGAAAATCCTCGAGCAGCAAGAAGCATCCGGTCCAAAGCTCCAAGGTATTGCATGATTGAAGGAATTTTATTTCGCAGGAGCCTCACACTTCCATACCTCAGGTGCCTTAAGTCTTCCAAATCATCCCACACCCTAGAAGAAGTTCATGAAGGAATATGTGGAAACCATCAAGAAGCTCGGGCATTAACCTTCAAGCACATAAGGTATGGATATTATTGGCCTACCATGAAGAAAGACACCCATGAATATGTCAAGAAGTGTGACAAGTGCCAGAGATTCGGCAATATGATCCACTCTCCCGCAGAGGACCTCACTAGCATTAGTTGCACGACCCTGTTTGAGCAGTGGGGAGTTGACATCCTCAGTCCCTTTCCAATAACTAGGGGGCAATTGAAGTTTGTGGCTGTGGCTATTGAGTATTTCACTAAGTGGGTGGAGGCTGAGCCTTTAGCAACAATTTCAAAGCCTAAGTTGAGAACTTTCATTTGGAGGTCCATCATATGCAGGTTCGGGATACCGAAAGTCCTCATAACTGATAATGGTAGGCAGTTTGACAATGCATAATTTAAAAACTTCTATTTCAACCTAGTGGTTGATCACCATTTGACATCAGTTTTCGATTCTCAAAGTAATGGTCTTGCCGAGGTGACCAATTGGATTATATTGCAAGACCTCCGTACAAGGATCGGAGATGCAAGAGGTTCCTGGTCTGATGAGTTACCTTCCATATTTTGGACATATAGAATGTCCCACTGAACCGCTACGGGGAAAACCCCCTTCATGTTGGTTTTCGATATTGAGGCCACCATCCTTGTTGAAGTCAGGTTGCCCAGCCAAAGAAGGCTTGAGCCCGAAGGTGCAAGATGCACCACTGAATACCTCGACCTCTTAGAAGAAGTTTGTGATCAGGCAGCTTTAAGAATGGCCTCTTACCAAGATAAAACAGCAAAGTATTTCAATAAAAAAGTGAGGACGTGGAGATTCAGAGCCGGAGACCTTATGTTAAGAAGGGCTGAAGCAACAGGTCATGCTCTGGACAAGCTAGGACCAGTTTGGGAAGGACCCTTCGAAATCATACGACAGTTTCAAGGAGGTGCATACAGTTTAAGGGATACATCAGGAAGACCACTTCCAAGACCATGGAATGCGGAGAATTTAAAAATATATTACAAGTAACTTGTTCTTCCAGTTTTCAGTAGTCAGGCCTGCGCGTCAAGGTTCACATTTTCAGTTCCCAGGCCTGCGTGCCAAGTTTTATTTTTCGGTAGTCAGGCCTGCATGCCAAGGTTCACGTTTTTAGTTGTCAGGCATGCGTGCCAAGTCTATTTTAAAAGTATAATAAGAATTAAACTATTCATCAAAATGTGATCTCGCTACTAAAAGCCTTGCCCCAAGCAAGCACTCTAAAAGCCTTGCCCCGAGCAAGCAAACTAAAAACCTTGCCCCGCACAAGCAATCTAAAAGCCTTGCCCCGAGCAAGCACTCTAAAAGCCTTGCCTCGTGCAAGCTACGAAAGCCTTGCCTCGTGCAAGCAACTCAAGCTTTGCCCCGCACAAGCAACTAAAGCCTTGCCCCGCGCAAGCAATCAAAAAGCCTTACCCCGAGCAAACAATCAAAAAGCTTTACCCCGTGCAAGCAATCAAAAAGCTTTTGTCGCCGAGCAAACACATAGAGATTGTTATCAGGGCAAACAATACAAGTAAAATTCTCGAGCACACAGTGCCCGATCAACGATGTGATGAATCTTATAAAAAGGCCCATCCTTGTCCTTGGGAATCACGCTATAGGTCGAGACAATTTCATTGTCATTTAGTCCTCAAGACAATTTCCTTATTAAGGGATGACCCTAAGATCGAGTTACTACCTTTGTCTAAAACTTTTATGGATTAAGTCATTGAGATTTTTAAGTAGTTTACCAGTTCATCTAGGCGTCGAGATGTTGATTTATCCATGACGTCGAGATATCAATTCATCTTAGGCATCGAGATGTTAATTTATCTATGACATCGAGATATCAATTCATTTTAGGCGTCGAGTTATTAATCTTGGGCATCGAGATATCAATTCATCTAGGCGTCGAGATATCAATTCATCTAGGCGTTGAGTTATTAAGTCATCTTAGGCGTCAAGCTATGGATTCTCTTAAAGTCGAGCTAGGTCACATCACTTAGTTTGGTCCTCAAACGAACTTAAAGCTTGAGCAAATATAATCGAAATAACATAGTAAGAAGTGCGAGTTAAGCTCGGGAAGAATACATTGATTTCAAAAATAATCAATCAGTACAAGAGCTAAGAGTATTCAAAAACAAAAAGAAAACAAAAACTAGTCTATGTCCTCGACTCCTTCTCCCCGAGGTCGGGCTTCCTTGCTCTTCCGCTACGTCCTCGCCGTTAATATCGACCTCCTGGTCATCGACGGTTTCCTCAGACTCTGAAAGCTCGAGGTCTTCAGCAACCTCTGGGATGTTCTTTAAATCCTTGGCCTTTACATCAGGCTTCGAGCGCAAAAATGCCCGAGCCTCTTTCAAAGCATGGAAGTACGAGCCCATGGCGTACTCTCTCTTCAATCCATTGAACTCCTCAGATGTTTTGAAATCCTTGATTGCGATGCCTCGAGCTTCAGTCAGGCAAGTTTCGAAATCCATCTTCAAACACTCGATCTCGAGCTTTAAATCCTCGGCCTTGTCCTTGGCCATTCCAGCCTCTTCCCGGGCTTTCTGAAGGCCATTCTTGGCGTCATCGCGTTCCTTCTGGAGAAGGAAACACTCAGCCTCCATGTTAGCTATTCTTTTCTCATGTGCTCGAGCAGTATCCTCAACCTCAACAGTTTGTTGTGCCTCATCTTTCCCCTTCAGAGAGAGGCCTTGGGCAATACTCAGAGTCTACAATATATAAAACCCAAGCTTAATGATCAAGTCATAGAAATCCATAAATTACACCAAGTAAAATGAGTGAGCTTACCTTCAGCGTAAGGGATTCAAGAGCTTTCATGCCCTCGTCGAAGACAAGGTCCTTCCGATATTTGTCCACGATGCTCGACACTCAGGATCTCGATTTTGAAAAGAAGGCATAGGAAGGACCTCATCCTCGAGGTCAGCAACCTCGGGAGTACTCCTTGACCGAGGACGTGATCGAAGAGTGGCAATTGGAGTTTTGTGCTCGTGAATGATTGGGGATTGTCCTCGGGCAGATGTCTCACCAAGACCACTCCTAACAATCTCTGGCCCTGAATCTCGAGGCCTCTTTTTCTCCCTTTTTTGACCTGGGGCTCGGATTTGAGGGGCCCTCGACTTCTTGTTCACGACCTGTCAAAGAGCTAAAGGATCGAAAGTCATCCCTGAAAAGACAAGTAATTAGCGTGAGCATAATTAACAAAGACAAATCGACGAGAAAAAGGCGAAAGTACAATCCCTACCCTCAGCACCTTTCACATCTGCAAGATCGAGAATATCATCCTCCAAAATGTCATCTATATCATAAACAAGAGGCTCGAGGTTCTCTAACATCAACCTATCTCTTTCTAAAGACTTGAAATAGGCCTGCCTTTCACAAAACCTGGCCGTGTCGGGCAAAACCCACCTAGGACTAAAAGGAAAGTCAGAATCCTGAGGTATGACATAAAACCACTTTTCTTTTCACCCCTTTAATGAACTTGGCATCCTCGGTATCCTAAAACCTCCTCGAGATGAAAGGTAGACAAAACATGTATATTGAGGCAGCTGTTTCAAATCGAAGACCATTCTACAAAAGTCGAGTCAATACCTAAGTACCTACAGGCTATAAAAAAGTAAGTAAGCATCCTCCATCCATTTGGCATGAGCTAACCAGGGCTCATGTTGTGCTCGACTAGTAAGGCCACAAAGAAGGGGTGTAGGGGCCATCTAAATCCACCCTTTAGTGAGTCTCTACAAACTCTCCATCTCGAGCACTAGCCAGCCTATCCTCACCCCCCGGCGTTCTAATATCACACTTAGGCATGAGCCCATGCTCCCTAGCCGTTGATATCGCTAGATGCTTCTTAAATTTACAGGGAAGGTCGGGGTACCTAAGGGGAGTCGGGATACCTTGTGCCTGAGGATGTACATTAATGGGCATGGCCATGGATATGATCGAGCGTTCCCTGTCCTCGGGGGTATTACTCGAGGAAGAGGACGAAGACTCACTACTACTACTAGACATCCTGACCTAGCAAAAAATGTCTATAGAATAACTTAAGGTCTTGAGGTCTTACCTTAAAGTCGACGCCTAAAAAACCCACCAAAGTTCTGATCCCAATGATTAGTGAGAGAATTTTACTGAGAGTGAAAAGTGAAAAATGAAAAGAGAACAAGGTATTTATAGGTAACAGAAGAGGGTATCCCAAAGGTCACTACCCCGACCGTCAGATTTGGCTACGTGTCTTACATCCAGCCCATAACGCTTTTTACCGCCTTTTCTTATTTAGGGCTTACCTCAGTACACGTCAACCCTTCTGAACACCTGTCTTCAAGAACTCCCCCGAGCTTACGCACCTAAGCTCTTTTCCTTTTGGCTTATTTTACACCATATCCTCGAGAATAAGTGCACGAGGGCTAGTGATACTGACAGTTCCTGCGTATCCCGACCACTTTCATCCCTGACCAATTGTGAAGGCGTTTCTTACGATTTCCGGTCATCAGTGCTCGGGATGTATTAGGTCCTTGGGATATTGTGCCCAACCTTGATGACATTCAAAGATTGCAAGATGTCCTCGGGAATAATAGCTCGGGAAAATCCTCTTGAGGTCCTCAACTACCATCTTCCTCGTACTAAGGAGAAGGTCTATCCCCTGAGAACTCTTATTTGACACAAATACTTCAAACCACATCTCCCAAGTCTAAGAGAGTCCTCTTAACAATTGGTCTTCTAATCTTAGTTGGATCCAAACACTGCTTTCTCATGGGACTCTATCGGATAAAGATACCCAGATGGTTAAATCCCACTACGAAAGCACCATATACCTCTATAAATACATAACATTAAGCCATTATTTAGGTACGTTCTCATTATTCTCTAATTTATAGTCTCACGCATATAATTCCCTTTTTGACTTAAGCATCGAAGGGGCGACGAGAACATACCTCGTTGCCTTTGTTTCAAGTACCGGAAGACTACGATCGTGTTCAATCAAAACCATCAAGCTCGAGAAATCAACATGTACGATTTTTGGTAGCACAAAATTAAGAGATCAACATTGATTACAAATCTAAAGAACCACAAAATTTCATAAACAAACTAAAAAAATAGATCCTCACCGTTCAAAATCTAAAAGCAACAACTCATGGTATAAAATTCTCTTGCAATTTCTTCAAGCACCAGCAGACCACCGTCGAACCACCATCTAGACCAACCATTCCCCATTTCTACAATTCTAAACACCCACTCTTAGATCATTATTTCTTCTAGCACCCATATTCTCAAATAGCCACTCCCAGATCCGTCGTCAGATCATGATCGATCCTCCACATTATTGCCATTGCACTCATTTCTAGAAACTGTTACACCTCCAAGCACTTCTCAATTTACCTATTGCTGGTCATAAAATT